CTGGCTGCCTGAACCAATTTCTTCATGAGGGGAACAGAACCCAACAAGGATGCCACACTCAGATAACAACCCTGTTTGGAATGACCATTGCAAGCTGACTGTTTCCCAAAAACTTCTATTTTTGAGTTGCTCTGAAATCCAATGATGTATATTTTCTTTTTTGTGGCTATCATAATATTTACTGGTATTCTAGTGATTTATAGTTAATAAAATATTACGGACAGAGGTGAAGATCCAACCATGCAATTGTAAGCCATAGCTTTCCTTGCAATATGTGTTAAACAAACCATAATTAAAAGTCGGAAAGGTATTTTTGATTGCAGGGTGTGTGTGGAGAAATCCCATGGGAACAAAGCGATTTAAAAATCTCTTAGCTGGAACTTTTTAATCAGTCTGAAGTTAAGACTGAGGAAAATAATTATTTTGTCTTAAATCATCAATCTGCTTGTTTCAGTAGTGGCATATCTTCACTCTGGTTCTGATATATTGCATTGATCACACTGTCAATAAGGTCTAGAAGCAGGGAAAATATGTTGTGAAATAAACTTCAGTATTGATGGATCTTGCATTTAAAGTTAATTAAAGTGGAAAATGTGTGATTGGGTGAAATTGCAGTACCAATTGCTATGTTAACTAGGGAATAATTTATACATGGATTTTTTGGGGGGTCAAAATTCCAATCTTTGAGCAAGCTAATAATTGAAACAAGGTTTCCCTCCACATCATAGAATGGATACGCATCCTTAGGTTCCTTCACTTCGAGAAGTGAGGTTACAGGGAACCAGGCAGAGGGCCTTCTCTGTAGTGGTGTGTGCCCTGTGGAACGCCCTCCCATCAGATGTCAAAGAAATAAACAACTACCTGACTTTTACAAGACATCTGAAGGGACCCCTGTTTAGGGACGTTTTTAATGTTTGATGTTTTATCGTTTTTTTAATATTCTGTTGGGAGCCACCCCGAGTGGCTGGGGAAACCAAGCCAGATGGGTGAGGTATAAATATATTATTATTATTATTATTATTATTATTATTATTATTATTATTATTATACTGAAATCCTGGGAGGATCTAAATCTTCCTTGGTTGGGCTGCGTTGCAACTGTAAAGACGTCAATCCTCCTGACGTTTCTCTATTTCCCGTACTCCTGATAACTTCAATCGGCACCCAGAAAGCTAGCCTCTCAAGAATAACAACTGTAGCCTAATTCCTCTCTCCCCTGATGTGGTGGCTTTTTGTACAGAAGTAAAAGATCCATCTATACAATCTCCCACTCTTCTTCTTGATGACGGTGCCGTATGTGTTTCTGAAAATCTAGTCTGTTCTTGGTACAATCATAATTCTGAAGTGACATATTCAAGGTTAAAAAAAGGTAAAGGACCCCGGACAGTTAAGTCTAGTCGTGAATGACTCTGGGGTTGCGGCGCTCTTCTCGCTTTACTGGCCGAGGGAGCTGGTGTTTGTCCTCAGACAGTTTTTCTGGGTCGTGTGGCCAGCATGACTAAGCTGCTTCTGGCAAAACCAGAGCAGCTCACGGAAACACCATTTACCTTCTCTCCAGAGTGGTACCTATTTATCTACTTGCACTTTGACGTGCTTTTGAACTGCTAGGTTGGCAGGAGCTGGGACTGAGCAACAGGAGCTCACCCCAGCACGGGGATTCGAACAGCCAACCTTCTGATCGGCAAGCCCTAGGCTCAGTGGTTTAGACCACAGCGCCACCAGCGTCCCGGATATTTAAGGTTACTATTGCCAAAAACGGATAAATACTATTTACTGACTGAGCAATATTAGAATCTCCACTGACCCAAATAAGTGATATTTCCTAACAGTCATTACAGGTGGAAATAGACCACTATATCCTTTTTCTTCAGCAGTGACATGACGCTAAGCCCTTCCTGCTCCAGGAGCTTGTGTAAATCACTGCAGTCTCCTTCAGGTGTGAACCCTTTGCATGGAGTGGAATGGGAGGAGGACTGCCCTCCTGGCCTTACCATCAATGTTGCATATTTGCCAGGTCTGTACAAAGATCTGATGGGGAGCTGGCTGCATTTGTGTAGGCACCTCCAAGCAAATGGTAGCCCTGTATGATCAGCAGTGGTGGGTGAATCTCTTAATTGTGGTTTTTCTCCATTTCTCCGTCTCTCCACTCTTAAGTTAGGTTCTCAAAAGTTCCATGTTGGTTTTCATTCATTTTAAAAGACCTCATGAAAACCCATCCACATTTTAGCATGGTTTTATCCCAACAGACAAATTTCTGCAAGCAGCTTTCCTTAATAGAATGTGTTTATGTAATGAAACACCACACAGCATCAAACTTACAGGACTGCCTCTCCTGGTATGTCCCACAGAGGACCCTAAGGACCATGAATAATAATAGCTTAAAAGTCCCGGGCCCTAAGGAAGCCAGACTATCCTCTACCAGAGCCAGGGCTTTCTCAGTGATGGCTCCAACCTGGTGGAATGCTCTGTCCCACGAGACCAGGGCCCTGCAGGACTTCATCTCCTTCCGCAGGGCCTGTAAGACAGAGCTATTCCACCTGGCCTTCAATTTGAATTAGCCTGATCCTCTATTCCCTTTCCCCTTTCGCCTTCTATGAAGAAACCCTTTCTGGGACCCCACATTTAAATTCTCCCCTGGTCACCTTGCTGGCCCTAGTAGGACCAACTTGGCCAGTTAGCCCTGGTGATCATTCAGTGTCTATTGAATGATGTTTCCCACTCCCCAAAAAATGACCCCTGAATTTTTGAATTTTATTGAATTTGATGCTGCATTTTATGTTGTATTCTATGCTGTTTTATGCTGTTCTAAAGTCACATTTTAATCAATGTTTTATATTTGCTGTTAGCTGCCCTGAGCCGCTTTTTAAAGCGGGAAGGGCGGGGTATAAATAAAAAATTATTATTATAATATTATTATTAAACCTGCCTGGTCTTGGTCAGAGGGGACAAGGGGAAAGGAGATGCAATGCTTCTCCCTTTCTCGTCCACCACCTCAAATATGTCAAAGACAACATTTTAAAAACCCATCAATCAAATTGTTTTGGGAATGGCTCCAAAGTCAGGATAAATCAACCTGATTCAAGGGCCACAAATTGCAGGCTTCACCTGCTATGCTAATGCGGAAAACACAAAATCTATTGGTAACACCATATGGTGCTGTTTTGAATACAAGGAAAGGTTTGAAAAGTAACAAAGGGAACTGGAGATGACTGGAGATGATGAAGGCTGCCTTTTCTTCCTTACTTTGAGGTGGACACAAAGCTTTTACCAATGTGTAGCAGTGGAATCAGGTTGTGGAAATAAAATATACAAGAGGCTGTATTGTAACTCAATTTAATGCCCTGTCTTTTAAATTAAATTAGGTATGCATTTAGTTGAATCTGGCCACTCTATTTGTAATGTCAGTGTTTCACTGAAAGGTTTTCTTATAACTCTTTCTCCAGGACGCTAACAACTCAAGGGGAAAGCTGATATTGCATTAAAGATGAACCAAAATGGTATTGGCTTTGAAACTGCTTTTTTTTTTAAAAAAAAAAAATGTAACCCAAAGTCAGGGGAAAACATGCCCTTATCAAATCTTGATTGATTTAGATTTATTGATTCGGCCTACTTCATTCATCCATGGTGACAAACCATAGCCCACCCTATCTAGCAAAGCAGAATAAATTGCATAACATTAAAATATTTTTAAGGCTGCACTTAAACCTGGCTGGAAGTGTTTTAAAACAGAACCTTCCTAGGGCACAGGTGGGATAGCCAATTTTTGATTCACTAGTGAGGGTTAAAGTGCCTCTGGGCAGTATTCAACTAACATGTCCTGTCAGTGGGACGATGTCCGTTTGCACAATGGAACCTTCTCACCTTCCTTTCCTCAATGCACATCCAGGGACTCCAAATCTGATCCAGAGGATTGTAGGGGTACCCAAAACAGATTTAGGGATATGTACAGGGAGAGGAAGGTAAACGGCGTTTCTGTGTGCTGCGCTGGCTCACCAGATGCAGCTTTGTCATGCTGGCCATGTGACCCAGAAGTATCTCCGGACAGCGCTGGCCCCCGGCCTCTTGAGTGAGATGGGCGCACAACCCCAGAGTCTGTCAAGACTGGCCCGTACGGGCAGGGGTACCTTTACCTTTTTACAGGGAGAGGAGGGGGCAGTGGCATGGGGGGCAAAGGAGCTGTGGTCCTGGGTGCAAAATTATGAGATGGGCACAACCACGTGCCCCCACAACAAGCTTCCTCATTAAGGCTGCGTGGCTGAACTCCTATCACCTTCCAGAGATACAGGGAGGGAAGCTGAGCCCTGGCTGGGCCTTTGGGGCTGGGGTGGCGCTTCCTTCTCCTCATGGCTGATGAAGGAATGCCTGGCCATGCCATGCCCCTGCACGGGCTGAGCTGCTGCTCAGTGCACCAGTATGTGTGTATAACACTTGGCCACCCCGGGCACCACCAACCCACGCTACGCCACTGAGAGGAGGGGACAGCCATTGTGCTGATGGGACAGTAATTTAGCATTGTTTTGACTGCAATCCTGTATGTTGACAGCACACCCTCAAAAAAACCCAGCAGCAGGAAATGTATCTGAAATGGATTAATGCAGTTTCCACTGGAGCAGAAGGGAAGCTTCACAGATCTTTCACCCCATTTTCACTGCCTTATTCCAGTACTGACTACAGTGAGTGAGACTATATTGCCTTCCACACATATAAGTTTTCTCCCCAGTGTATGTAGAGGCAAGTTGCAACAATGGTCCTGGTAGCATCACATAGTTCTGGAAAATTTCTAACTGGGACCATCCTTCTGCATGCAAGGCGGATGCTCTACCATCAATCCACGGCCCTTCCTGTGCTGAGAGAAAGTCAAATTCCATGTATGATGGCCATTGTAAGTCACATTTGGCATGAAATGTGGGGTTTGATGTCATGTGGTTATGTGAAGTGTGATGCTGTCCCTTCAAATGAGAGAGTGGTAGACAATGTGGCACCAGGGATTGCATTTTTTTTAATGTCATAACATTTTTATTGTAATGAAAGATTAGTTTTCATCCACATTAACAGTCTATAGGCTTTTGAAAGAGGTAACTGGCACATATGTGACCAGTGTATACAGTTTATTAGGCGGATCCTCATCTTCCTTGCGTTTTCTGGATAAACTCACATGGATATGGTAAGGAACATTCCTTACTTCTTTTGTAGTAAGGAATTTTCCTTAGGTCCTGGGCCCTAAGGAAGTTAGATTGGCTTCAACCAGAGCCAGGGCCTTTTCAACACTGGCTCCGGCCTGGTGGAACGCTCTGCCTCATGAGACCAGGGCCCTGCAGGATCTGATTTCTTTCCACAGGGCCTGTAAGACAGAGTTGTTCTGCCTGGCCTTTGGCTTGGAGCCAATTTGATTCCCTCCCCCTCTTTCTTTTTTCCTTTCTCCTCCTGTGATGAGGCTGCATTTTAATGTTTCAATATTTTAATTGTTGTATTTTAATATTGTTTTTAAGTTGTATTCATTCAACTTGTTTTTATTATTGCTTGTTAGCTGCCCTGAGCCCGGCCTTGGCTGGGGAGGGTGGGGTATAAATAAATTATTATTATTATTATTATTATTTTGCCCAGACAGCCTTGTTCAAGTGGGTGTCAATGCCTACATCAGGAATCTCCATCTCCTTCATTGCAAATTTTTGAATCTCCTTGAGCGCACGAGGAGCCCAGTTCTTGAAGCCCACGCCATGGATCCGTTTGTGAATGTTTATAGTATATTCCCGAATAAACACCTCATTGATAGTTGATCGTTCTTTCCTCTTTTCACCATCTTTCTTTGCAGGAGTCATCCTGCTCAGGACCAGACCAGAACGGCACCAGGGATTGCATTTTGAGTTATAATTCTGTAACTGTTCCCGTTTTATCATCTAGGATCTTATATCAATACATATGTTTGCCAAGTATGCTTTGCCCAAATACACATGTAATCCTAACCAACCTGCCTACCTAATGAGGAGTAAAGGAGCTGCTTCAAGTTTCACTACACAGATTCCCTCTTGATTTTTCTCCCCGTGTGCCCTTGCCGTGTTCAGCTGTGTTTTCCCCATATGTACAGCAGCGCACGGTCTCTTTCTGTTTCTCTAATTTGTTATCACAACGGAAGAGTCCAGATCATTAAGTGCCTAATTGAACTTGATGCTGTAGCAATCAGCTGTCGTCTTCCTCCTAAGATATCAGGGATGTGAGCAGCACCATCTGTTGGGCTGTAGCTGCAAGGAGGAGAAACATCAATATTGAAAGCAAACAGTTTCTCCATACTCTCCTTTCTCTATGTTTGTGGTCCATATATAGAGGGAGCTTGGCTTGAACTTAAAGGGTTGCCATACGTCCAGGAAAACCCGGACATGTCCTCTTTTGGGGGCCAACATGCCCATCTGGGCGGATTTTCACATTTCTGGATTTTTCAGGCTCTTTCACCAGTTCAGGTTGGCAGCAGCTCGAGCAGTCCTCTTTTTTGCTCTTCAAGATATTGCAACCCCATCACTGGTCCAATCAAACACAGCATTAGCATGGTCACTATACATGCTCAGACAGGAGGTCCTGGAGTTCTACCAACAGCACACAACTCAATGGGGGAAAAGAGTTTAGAAAAGGAACTCTATCACTGGGTGTGGATTGCAAGTACAGGTAAGAGATTGTCAGCAGGAATCAGACAGTTTGTTTGGGGGGGGGGCCATTTGGTTTACACCTGGCTTCTAGTGTCTCTACCCCCATTGTTCAACCCGGACATGGAGGTCCAGCGCTGAGGGCCTTCTGGCAGTTCCCTCACTGCGAGAAGCTAAGTTACAGGGAACCAGGCAGAGGGCCTTCTTGGAACGCCCTCCCATCAGATGTCAAAGAAATAAACAAGTATCTGACGTTTAGAAAACATCTAAAGGCAGTTTTTAATTACTGTTTTAACATATTTTTAATCTTTTGTTGGAAGCCGCCCAGAGTGGCTGGGGAAACCCAGCCAGGTAAACGGTGTTTCCGTGTGCAGCTCTGGCTCGCCAGAGCAGCGATGTCATGCTGGCCACGTGACCCGGAAGTGTCTCCGGACAGCACTGGCTCCCGGCCTATAGAGTGAGATGAGCGCACAACCCTAGAGCCTGGCAAGACTGGCCCGTACGGGCAGGGGTACCTTTACCTTTTTTATATATATATTATTATTATTATTATTATTTGATTGGAATCTGATCTAGTGGGAAGTAAATGATGCTGCCTGGTTCAAGGGTGAGGCATTGAGAATCATGGAGATTCTTTTATTGAGTTTATATCAGGGTTTATATAATTTTGTGTATTGCAGTGGCAGGAGTGCCTGTCTCAGACCAAGGAAGAAGAAGAAGAGTTTGGATTTGATATCCCGCTTTATCACTACCCGAAGGAGTCTCAAAGTGGCTAACAATCTTCTTTCCCTTCCTCCCCTACAACAAACACTCTGTGAGGTGAGTGGGGCTGAGAGGCTTCAAAGAAGTGTGACTAGCCCAAGGTCACCCAGCAGCTGCATGTGGAGGAGCGGAGACGTGAACCTGGCTCACCAGATTACATGTCTACTGCTCTTAACCACTACACCACATTGGCTCTGTTTGTTCAGACATGTCTTACAGGGTGACCTTGCACCATACATCATCTACCCTGCCCTACAGGGTTGTTGTAAGCATAACACAGGCGAGAGGGATAAAGCACACCAATGTGAGCTCCTTGGAGAAAGGATGGTGGCATAAAAATGTACTCAATGAAATGAAATTGCTTGGCTCTAGCAAAAATGTTTAAAGAATTAGGTAAGAATATTATGGTTATGAGAAGTTGGTAAAAATAAGATTTAAGCTTTAAGTTTTAAGGTTTTTTACAAGATACGATGAAAATAGATTAAGGTAATGCAATGAAAAATTAGGATAAATAAAGAGGGAAAGGACTTGCTGAATTAATAAATTGAATTGGAATACAAAAAAGGGAGGTTTGAGGAGGTCCGGGAAATAAGCAAATGAAAGATAAGCAAAGGAAAGATGGAATTGTTTTTAATTATTTTTATTTTGTATTTTTCTTTTTTCATTTTGTAACACTCTAAAAATCTTAATAAATATATATATATATATATATAAAAATGAACTCAATGTATTTTTTCAAGGTATTTTTCAAGGTATTTTCACCTCCTCGGTTCTGAATTCAAAGCACCATCCTATATGGGTCTACTTAGAAGTCAGTGGATTAAATAGAGCTTACTCCCAGGTAGGGATGCACAAATCTGCACAAATCAGTTTTTTATATATGTCAAATTTAACAAAGAAGGGGGAAAAGCAAAAACAGGTTTTTTAAAAAGACAGAAATCAACCACCACAACAATGCGCACTGTTACCTCACATTGAGAATACAACAGCCGTCCATACCTCTCTCTAAAATTCAACATTTAAGTCAATATACGGCCTCCAGATGTCCACATAGATATCCACACAAAACTGTTTATTTTAAAAATTTGTTCAAATGCAGCAAAGGCATTGAGGCCATCAGACCACTGAGGGGGGGGGGGATTTATCCTTCCAGGCTCAAAGTGTATGTCTCTTGGCAACCGTAAGGGTTCACAGCACCAACTTTTGTTGTCCTGCTGTCAAAAGGGATATAATTTAAAAGTTCACGAACCTCTGTAAATATCAAATATTTTGCCAGTAGGAAATTTATATGGACAAGAACTTCAGACCAAATAATAATAATAATAAATGTATTACTGAACGTCATATTCCTCAGTGAGGCCTTTACCGCACAACACCTTCAGCATTTATCTAGATTATATAGCGCCTTCCTATACAAAATTCTGTGGAGTCCAAAATACTTGAAAAAAACCATTTTTGCTGGATCAGTCTCAAATTCCAATCTAGAGAAACATTCCATATAGATTCTAAAACATTTTTCCATTGTTTGGCTTGTACAGTACACTCTGATTCCCTATTTTCTGAGTTCCTGTACCTCTACTTATAAAAGTCCAATGAGCATTTATACACAGAAGTCATGGATTTGGCATTTTTCCAGCCTTAGATTTAATTCTCTACATTTCCGCAACAGCTTGTGATTGTGGACTCCCCCCCCCCATAAAAGCCATCCTGAAAGTTCATCACTATTTTGGTGTGAATTACTCCCAACCTACATATGCTTGTAAGCATTTTTGCCCGACATGTACATTTTTGCAAAGCAATTTTCCCTAACCCAATGTCTTTTTTGGTACATCATTTCCACCAATATATGCATTTTCATGCACACTTCATCAATTTCTGTACACATTACCTTGCTGGAGACTCGCAAACTCTGTGAAGAACTGAATATTCAGAGAAGTGTGAATTTCAAAGGATGGCTGTGTTTCGGTTCTCATATAATTTTGGACAGTGAACATTTAAATGTGACCTGAATCAAATCCACACATTCCTATTCCCAGATGATTACTGATAGGCTTGAAGCCTGACGAATCAAGCTTGAGAGTAGCTTTGTCAGCAAACAAGCACCAAGAAAGGTAGCAATGACCTCTAGGCTATCACAATGGAACAAATCATTGTATGCTTGCCTTGCTGTTCTCCCTTTTGGAAAAAAAATATCGGGATATCGGTGCAACAAATAATGACAATGAGCATGAATAATTAACATAGAATAACTACCAGCAGCAATGAAGGCCTATTTGCATATAAAGACATGCTCACAGCTACTGCTTTTTCTGTAATATTGTACGTTTTGGAATCAGCTCTTGTGTTGATACAGATCCTCGCACTTCCTACTACATCTAATATAGAACTCTTGGTGCTGACTTCATTTTTCTCAGTGTACTGCTGATTTTTAGGTTGCTTTACTTTTTTAATTTTGGAAAGGGAGTTTTGTTCGATTTGACATCTGTAGGGGATCCAAATGGCAAGGAGATATCGCTGCACTGCAGCTTTGTTCAATGGTACGACTGCCACTCATAAAGAACTGTTGCTGGTTTTTTATTTGCTAGCATCTACTGTTGCTTACCTAACATTCTGCGTTTCGTGAAAGGGTCTGGCAAGTAATGCTGTTTAGCCAGGTTTGCAAATTTCCAACTTAATAACCAAGCCTTGCTGAGAAGATTGCTGGTCTGGCAAAGCGCTGATGTGGTGATTTGTATCTCAGCAGTTTGATGTGATGAGACCTACGAGTGCCACTTTTTGTTGATGGGTTAATTCAGTTTGGGTACAGTAATTCCTCTTCCTGCTGCCGCTCGTAGCATAGTTCTCTCTCAGTTCTACGGACACTTCTGCAGCTTCACACCATGAAGTCATGCTTCAGACTCCGTATGACTCTTGTCCACAATACTCAGAAGTCTTCCATGCAGATCTACTCTGTTGAAATATATACACATTTAAATCAGACCCCTAACTTCAAATGGTGTACCCTCAACCTGATTTAAAATTACCTGCATTGTCATGGATGTTTTCCCTCACCGGGAAACATCATTCTGGGAGGAGGTTTTGGTCCCTTACATTTTTAGTATACCCTCACAACTGTCCTTCACAGGGTCCTTTGTGGAGAGGCCATGGCAGTAAAATGGATTTAATCCTCCTTGGGTAGTGAAGATGTGCAGAAACTTGTCTGACTTTGTACCCAGTTTAATTCAGAATAAACTGGCCTGTGTGCATATATTTTAAATATAAATTTATGACATAGCAAGTGTGCTGTGGACAACTGTCAGCATACAGCAGCTATTTTGCCTCCCCCAAGTATGATATGTGATATGAAAATACAGAATGTAAATATTAGTAAAGTGGCTCACCAATCTATTATATTTAAGCATTTCTATTGAATTCACACCACT